GGTTGTAGTTCTTTACTCTAATACAGATAAAATCAATGACTTTGTCCCTGTAAGTAAACTTTTATAAGCTCCCATTCTCATAACATCCCATTTTTTACCCAACCAAGACCACTAGGATATGCTAAGTTGCAAAACTGTCACAGCTTGACGAGCTTCATTCGTGCTGCTTGCCCAACCCCAAGTTACACGCCACTAGGTAGACCAAGCCCCCAACATAGAATTAGAGTCCTTCCTTTGTCCTGGGCTTGGCCTTTGGTGGGCTCAGCCTTCACGTGCAACTCTGCTAGGTGAATGTGCACCTAAAACCCTAAAATAAATCCTCCTGTTTCACCCGTAGTTTCTCCTGTCTCTTAAATTCTGCAACAAAAATTATTGTTTCACTCCAGGTAATAAACCTTCTCTGAGAGAGATGCTACTTTCCAGAAGGCTTAGTAAAACAGGCTTCCTTGAAGAGGCAGGTGAGAGACCCCAAAAGGGTTTCAGTGTGAGTCTCGATGTCCATATGTTGTGTGTATGTGCAAACGCAGGTGTCCCTGTCCTCACTGCCCACGTTCATGGGCACATAAACATCTCTGCTGTGGTTTTTGAAGCTACAACATAGGTCCCTGCAAGTGAGTTTCAGTTTAGCCAGGGGGTTAGCCCCAGGCAGGAGCCTAAGCACCATGGTGGAAACAAGTCAGGGAAAGACAGGTTCCACATGAGAATCAGAGTCACACAGTGCAGAGTACTGGAGACCGCAGAGCCCCAGACACCAGAGCCAGCTGGAGAGAAACCTCGGAGTAGTTGATAGAGACACAGGTAAGAGAGCTGTAGGTCTCTGTGGGTTCAGTTACACTCGGGCAGGCCCGAAGTTCTTCCCTCTCCCCACTCTCCCGCTTCTCCTATGAAAATTCATTCAATGTATTTGGGCTGTGGTGCTCCGTCCCCACAGCGATGTGGAGATATTTGCAGATGTGTTTGTACTTACAAGCCACTCACTTTAAGTAAAAGAGACGACCCTCATAATGTGGGTGAGACTCGGCTGCCTAAAGAGCAATCAAGGTCCCGGGATTTAGCTCGGGTGAGCCGCCACCTGCCTTGCAAGCACGAGGTCCTGAGTTCGATCCCCAGTACTACCCACCAAACAATTCTCCCTCAAACTGTGACATACATATACCATATATCCTGCCTGCGTTCCCAGCCTGCCCTAAGGCTTTGGGGCTCTCTGGCCGTGGTCACATGGGCCAAGTCCTTACAATAACTCACCTGTCTAAGTGTATCTCCCCAGCCTCCCTCCCTCCCATGTATAAGTGTGTGTGAGACTATGTAGCCAGACATAGCTATAGAGATATAGATGTATATGTAGTTCTTATGTTTTCTGTTTCTCTGAAGAACGCTGATAAAGATTAGAAAACCAGGCTGGGGATTTAGCTCAGTGGTTCTGGCGCCTGCCTCACAAGCACAAGGACCCAAGTTCGATCCCCAATACCCCCCAAAAAAATTTGGCCAACCGAGGGTGATTCTACCAAAACAGAATCTCAAGGATGAGCTTTCGAGTTAGTTGTGAGGTTTCCGAGTGGGTTCTCTAATATGACTACATTTTTAAAACTAGTGGCTTCCACGTCCAGTGACAAACACTGGAATCCCTAAATCTTTCTCCCTCAGACCCGGGGTCCCGGCACAGTTCAGTCCCTCCTTTCTCAGAGAAACAAAGCTCCGAAGTACAGACACGTTTGTGCCACCTCAGGGCGGCGGTCTTCGGGACAGCAAGAAAAGCAGGTTTCTGCCTCCTTCCCTTCAGCCTCCCCCAGCACAGACCAAGATACAAAGTCTCAGAGAAAGGCTAGGCCCTGCTGGTGTTCGCCCCACCTCACAGCCTCTCTCACATATCCACTTCCTCTCCCTGGGCCTCTGGTTCCCCATCTGGAAAACAGGGGTCTTGATAAAAGGTCTTCATTGGGCCGGGGATTTAGCTCAGTGGTTCCACCGCCTGCCTCACAAGCGAAAGGACCCGAGTTCAGATCCGGGCACTCTGGGAAGCTGAGAAAGGAGGGTCAAAAGCTCAAGCGCTCCCCCCAAAAAAGAACCAGGACGGATTATGTAGAGGTGCAAATTTCCAACGATGAATGCCATTATACTGTATACCTTAAATGTACCAATAAAATTAATTTAAAAATAAAAAGTTCAAGCCCAACCTGAGCAATTGAACAGAAGCCTGTCTCAAAGATGTAGAGAAGGGATGTGAGGGCAGAGTGGCTGCAGTATCTGTCGCCCCATTGACCGCCAGGGCTGGCTCGGCTGGTCTGGCTGCCCAGGCGGGTGTCCCCTTCCCCCCTCGCCTCCCTCCGGAAGCTGTGAGCTCGGCTGACTGCAGAGGAAGATGGGGGCACAGGAATAGCTGCGCTGCCCTACTCCAGCCTCCAAACGAGCTCTCAAAAGGTGGAAAGGGCTGGGGAGCAGGGCGGTGCAAAGGCCCTGGGTTCTATCTGCAGTACCGCAAATAAAACGAAATGAATTTTAAAATAAAATGAAGTCTCGGTGACTTTGAGAAAGTGCGAACCCTGCAGGATCAAGGGACATGGCTGCCTCTAGCCTGGGTCGCATTTACTTGTCCCCCAGGTTCTGACTCCAGTGGACCCAGGACGAATGACGACAAAGCCGATGACCACGGCTGTGTCAGCGAGCGCTCGTGCCAGGCGTGGATCTCAGGGAGACGCAGAAGCATTACTGTCCCTGCTTTATGGACAGAGCGACCGAGACACAGAGAGGCCCGAGGGTGCCGACACTGGAGATTCGGCCCAGCTCACTAGTCCGGTCTTTCCGGCCTCAGCCTGATTTTATGACTTACACGGCCGCTCCGACGGTCTTACTTCATCCAGCCCCAGGCAGGCCCCACCCGGACCCCAGTTCCCCCCATGAGCCTGCAGCCAAGGGTAGGAGGTCCCCCGCCAGGTGGGAAGGCCCCCTGGAGCCAGCCTCTCGGCCCCTGGCTTCTGCAGCCCGGGTGACCTGAACGATGCCCGCCAGTGCGTAAAACAAGGGTGAAACTACAGCGTTTCCACTGGAGCTTAGCTCCTTGCTGGAACTCAGGCCTCCTGGGAGACTATGCCGGAACCCTCTGCTGATCAGGTTTAAAAGATGAGACCCTAAGACTCCAGGGTCCCCCAAATTAGAAAGCTGTGCCCACAGGGCCCTGCCCTTCAGAACTGAGGGGCCGTGAGCAGGGGAGCTGCGGCCAACCAGGGAGGGGTTGGTGGGGAGCCCGGTCCAGGAGCAGGGAGGAGGAGACCAGGCAGAAGGAAAGGGCTGGGGACGAGGGAAGGGGAGAGGACAGTGCGGGAGTAGGGGGTCTGCCCAGACTGGGGCCTAGGGAGCTGGCCCAGGAAGGGTCTGGAAAGTGAGAGGGCCCTGGGGAGGTTGGGTATGGGACAGGGGCCAGAGGCTGCCCTTCAGGGTCCTGATGGGGAGCAGAGCGGGCTGGGAGTGACGTCATCGTGTGGGCGGGGCGGAAGGTGTGACGTAGCGTCGGGGGACATCTGGACTGGGCTCTGGATGGGAGTGTGCTTTCGGGGTCCGCGCTGTGCCAGGGAACTCCTGCAGGGGGCGGGGGGCGGGGGCCGCACCTGCCACATGTTCCTGGGGTGAGAACTTTGGATTCCTTGCCCCTTGGCCTCTTCTGCATGACCGTTGCCTCTCTGGGCCTGTTTCCTCTATGTTAGCCTCCCCCTGCTGTTGGCAGGGTCCATGAGGTAATGCCAGAGCAGCCCTTGGCACCCCATAAATGGACGGTTCCACCGAAGCTGAGGCCCCAAGACACTGAACATGAATTTCTGGGGCAACAAAGACAGAAAGGAGTCCTACGCAGCTCCCAGCCTGGGGGTCCAGATGTCTGCGTACGGTGCCTGGAAACCGGAATTTCTACAATGCCTGCCTGTCATGCAACAACCCAGGGTTTCAGGGTGTCCAGAGCTCTGTAGGTCTACACAATTCTAAATCTGAGCTTCCGCCTCAGGTCCTAGACTGCTGGAACGCCTGGGGCCTGTGGTCCTAGAATCTAGAACATGATACTCCAGAGATTTTGAAGGCTTGTAGTACTGGAGGAGCTGAGGCCCAGTCATGCAGCTACTTCCCCTAAAGGTGATGGCTTTCCAGACATCGGGAGGGACTGTGCACGTGATGGGTCCCATCCTTTGCCCGATGACCTAAAGTAGGTCCCTCCTGCTCTCTGGAGCTGCTTGTTAGACTCCAGACAATTGCTCAGGGCCCTCTGGGGTTCTGAAGCACCAGAAGCCAGCTTCAAATACCTGACGCCTTGGGTCATCTCATTGTTGATGTCTGGCTTCCAGAATGCAGAATCCAGATTTCAAGCTCTAGAATGCAGGCTACTGACTACAGGATTCAGAACAGGGACCCCAAAATCCCAACCTCTAAATTTGTACCCTGCACTCAAGGCTCTGGCAGCCAGGGATTGAGCTCAGTGGTTCCGCCGCCTGCCTCAAGACTGGCAATCTCAAAATCAGGGAAGCCAGGCCCATCTCACAGCACAGCCTCTTAAATGTGTAAGGAAGATTTGAAACTCCATGCTCCATACTCCAAATATCAGTCTAGAATCAGACCCTAGAATCAAGACTCCAAAATCCAAAGGCTCGCCTTTGTACGCCGGCACCAAGGCTTCACACAGCAAGTGCAAAGGATTTCATCCTCAAGTCTCAGATTCCAAACACCAGGCTCCAAACTCCTCAGCTGGATTCTAGACTCACATGTCCAGGATCCAGAATGCAAGCCCAAGACTTCCTAGGTCACTCCGAGACCTGACTCCCAGGGTCCCGTTCCAGAGCCCAGACCCCACAGCTCAGACAACCCACACTCCAGACTTCGGTCATGAATGCCAAACTCACAACTCAAAATCCAGAACTCAAGAGCCAGCTTTAGACTCTGAACCCCAAATCCAGAATCCAAAATCCAGAACCCCACCACAGCCACAAGACGTATGATTCCAGAATCCAGTCCCCACACTCAAGACCCCAACGTCCTCCAGTTTTCTGCTCTTGTACTCCTGTCCCTTACCCCAGAGAAACTGTCCCTAGGGGAGAATGCCTTCCCACAGACTCAGACAATAGTTTCAGCTTAATAAATGCTCATTAGACAAGGTCCCCCACCCCGCTGGCCACCACGGCGTCCCTGCCTGTAAATCTCCCAGCCACATCTCGCCCCACCCCACCTCAGTGCAGCCCTAGACCCAGGTGAGGCTGGGAGCTTATAAATTCAGGCATTCTGGTTTCTGCTCCTCTTCTGGCTCCGAGCTGCCCTCGATGCTGCTGGAGGACCTGAATGGGGTGAGATCTTTAGGCAGAACTTGGGAAGGGGTGGTGAGGGAGACTCAGGGCTGTGGTCTCTGTACAGGGTTGGGGGGGAGGGTGAGACACCCTCTAAGTGTCAAGGGCATTGGCTAGGTCCACATACCCTTTGCTGTGGCTCCGAGAGTATCCTGGAGTCTCCAGAAGGAGGGAGGGTAATGGAGTGGATTGGGCCATCCCTGAAAGCACTTTGTCCCTGAGCCAGAACGGGCTCAGGGTGCGCAGTTCAAGCCAGTTCAGAGCAGCTTCTCCAGTGCTCCCAGGTGCCAGGCTCCAGGCTGCGGACACAGAGAGGATCTGACCCGAGCCCCCTTCAGGACCCCGAGATGGGGTGGGAGGTGGAGGGTTAGACCGCAGCGTAGCATCTGTGTGGTAACGGGGCCAAGACTGGCACTGCGGAGTCCAGAAGACACCTGTTAGATACCGGGGCCTCCTGGGAGAGATGAGCCTCATGGCACAAATTGTAACTTGGAAGATGAGGGCAAAGACTTCACTTCACTCCCAAAGCTCGCCAAGGTCTCCCACGGGCCAGATCCTGCATGAGGCAGTCCTGGGAACCCAGAGTCCTCTGACGGGTCTGTTCACAGGGAATTCCCAGTCTGATGGGCGAGACAGGTACCCCTCAGGGTTGGGGAGGTTAGAAAAGATGGGGGAGATCAGCCAGGCAGGCAGAAAGGGAAGAATCCACTCGTGTCCTCCAAAGTGAAGCTGGGGGGTGGAACTTTATCCTGGGGTCCCTGGGGGTTCAGACAGGACTGGGTGCAGAAAGACCTTTGGGGCCTTGGGACCAGTCTGAGAGAGTGCCGGACTGGAGGGGCACCCAAGAGGCCAGACAGGGGGCTGGGATGGGGTCCTGGGCCAAAGCACTGAGGCTGGGGTCTGACGGGCTGTGGGGGCACTTGGGGCTGTTCCAGTGTCTAGAACAGTGACGTCTGCAGAGACACAGGTGACGGCTCAGAAGCTGGTTCCAGGGGCGGCTCTTCTTCAGCAGCAGAGGCTGGGGGGAAGGAGTTGGGGCCCCAGGGGATCCCAGTGGGGGCAGAAGGTCCAGCCTCACCCCGGTCTTCCTCTCCCCACCAGATTTCAGCCGAGCCCGTCCCTCCTCCACAATGTGGCTTGTGCTCACCTCCTTCTTGCTGATGTCTGCGGGTGAGAGGGGCTGAGGGGGTCCATGGGAGTGCGAGGTCCCCTTCCCCTGGGACCTGCCAGCCCCTGCATGACCCTCACTCAGGGGCCATCTAATAACCCCACCCTCGGCCCAACAGAGCTACCTGCCAACCTGAGAGCCTGGGGCTTCTCCCTGCCCTGACGGAGAGCGCAGCTCCGGTGACACACAAACCTCAGTTTGAATTCTGCCACTGCCCCTTGCTTGCTGTGTGACCTTGAGGACATTGCTTTACCTCTCTGGGCCTCAGCTGCCTGCTGTGTAAGACAGCACCTACCCGTGGCAGTAATGCCATGGCTCAATGGTGTAACACATGTAACGCATATAAGGACTCACGGAGGGGTGAGGAGGCAAGAGCACAGATTCTGAGTTCAAATCCCACCTGCACCACTTCCTAGTTCCTTAATGTCTGTGTGATTTGGACTCAACAACAGCCTTTCCAACCTCATGGGGTAACCGGGAGGTGATCGAGCATTGCTAGGCACCTAGCTTGTGTCAGACGCAGCTCTTGGCAACACCCATGTTTGGGATGCCTCAGCCCTCCTTTGACACGGGAGGGCGTGGAGTGGCAGGGATCGCCAGACCGGGCTTCGCCACCACGCATGGGTGAGATGAGGGCAACCTGACTCCTCTGCCCCGAGAACCTGAGGGCTGGATGTTCATTAACCATTCCGCCCCACATGACCCCAGGCCGCCCAGGTCTCTGGGAGCTGCAAGCCTTCCCTGGAACTCTCCCTGAGCTCTTTCCCCTGTGCCTCCCACCTGCCTGCTGCACCCGGCTACAGCCTCCGCCCTCTTCCAGCTCTGACTGGCCGGGTGCGGCCCGGTGCCCAGCTGTTCCGTCAGCACCCTCGCCCTGCGCTAGGACGACCTCGGCCCTCCTTTGTTAAAGCCTTTCATCCACCACATCCGCATTCTCCAGCCTCGCCAGCACCTTGGGTCCAGTTCCTGACCTTGGTGGGCAGACAGTGGAATTGGGTCCAGCTGTGTGGGTGCAACCCAGCCCCAGTGTGGGTGTCTGTATGCATGGCTGTGACCTTGGGGGACACAGCCTCATTGCCCGGGGTAGGGGCTGTGTTCCTGTGACCCAGATGGGGATCCACGTGCATGACTCCATCCTGTGGCCGTGTGGGTGTGTGGTGGGTGTGCAGGGTCCTACACATGCCCATGAATCCATATGTGAAACTTGATGATTGATCTTGAACATCACGGACCCAGCTCAGGAGCTGATGTGGGATGGGTAAACCTGTGCTGCCCCAGCCACCTGGGTCTCCTTCCCCCTGAGGGCCCAGGCCTGTCTTAATCAGGTGGGTCCACAGCTGAGCCCTTCGGGCTGGTAGCTGTGACCTTGACTCTACACGACAGCTTGTGAATGAATCACAGTTTTGACCTCAGCTATCATAGCTGGATCTACATAGATGCTACCTTACTTTGGCCATGTGTGTGTCCAAAACCTGAACATCCACGTGTGTTCCCGTAAATAAACCCATGAGCCCTTTTAAAATGGCATCCCCATTTTATAGATCAGGAAACCAAGGCACAGAGGTCACATTATTTGCTCAGTCTCGCAGAGTAGGTTTGAGCCCAGGGTTAGGGCCCCGCCTTCTCTGTCCAGACCCTGTGCGTAAGTGTGCATATCAAGACGCACACCGGAGCCTGTGAGTTTAGGTCCAAGTCACAGCCCGTGTCCGGGGCATGTGCACGGATTGCGTGTCTGGGCTGCCCATGTTCATGGACACCCGTGGACATCTGCTGTGCTCCTAGAAGTGTAACCCCTGTTCCAGCAAGTGGGCTTCAGCTTTCTGCCCCCATGTGCCTCCGCTGCAAGCCTGCCTCTGTGTGTGTGTGTGTGTGTGTGTGTGTGTGTGTGTGTGTGTGTGTCAGTGACCTTGGGCAGCCACATCGGACAGAATCTTGCATGGTACATTGAATTTGGCTGAGATATGGTCTCTGGAGCCAAGACTGTACGTCATGTACTTGGAGTGGCCACATTCACTCAATAGCTGTGACAGTTTGGCCATTTTGAGCAACTGGTTCCAAGTGACTGCCTGCCTGTCTGATACTGTACCCCATGTCCTTGCCTCCACCCCCAGTCACAGAGAACACCTTGCCCTCTTTGGTCTTCTCCCCTTCCTCTCTCTCCCTGGTTCCTACAGCAAGCGGAGTCGGGGCTAGAGTTCTAGAACAGGCAGCAGCTGCCAAAGTCAGCCAGGAATGGGCTTCAGAATAAGCGGGAAGAGGAGTAAACAGGAGTGGGGGCTGGATGTTACTGCGTACATATGTAATCCCAGCACCCCAGGAGGCTGAGGCAGGAGAATCACAAATTCAAGCCCAGCCTGGGCAACTTAGTAACTTAGCAAGCACTTGTATCAAAACAAAGTATTTTCAGAAGGGCTGGGGATGTAGCTGAGTGGGAAGGCCCTGGGTTCAATCCCCAGTACTGCCCCCATAAAGGGGGAGAGGACATAGAACAAAAGCATGAGGAGGACAGGGTGTGAGGGAGGGGCCAGGCACACTGTCGAGGTGCCCGTCCTTGGCGGTGCTCCCTCCTTCTCCCAGCAGCCCAGGACAACGACGAAGAGTGCGTGCCCCACTCCCAGCCGTGGCAAGTGGCCCTCTTCGCTGGTGGACGCTTCAACTGCGGGGCGTCCCTCATCTCCTTCCAATGGGTGCTGACGGCTGCCCACTGCCGGACCCGGTATGCAGACGGGGCCTGGGGGCCAGGAGGGCACAGGTGAGGGTAGGAGCTGCCGGGCCTGGGAGAGACAGACACCGGTGCCTGGACTGCAGAGTCTAAATCCTGGGTTCTGGAGGAGGAGGACACTGGAGGCCGAGGCCCTGGGTGAGCAAGGGTGTCGGATCTGGACTCTCCAGTCATTAACAGAGGGAGAAGGCCGGTAAGGGCCCATTTTTGAACCCCTGATGAGCCAAGGGTCTAAGAATTTGAGAAGTCCAGCTTCTGAGAAAGGCACAGTCCAAGCCTGCAGGTTGAGCTGCAGGTGTCTTCAAGACCTGGGACTCCTGGGTCCCTGAGGGGAAAGGTCCAGAACCACTAACTTCAGGATTTCTGGAAAGGGTAATAGGAGCTCAAGATTCCCAAAAGGTTGAAGGCCCCAGGTTGCCCACTTGGGTCCTTCTGTCTGCTCCTTACCGCCCCACTTGTGGGTAACTACTCGCCCCCACAGCTTCATGAGAGTGCGCCTGGGCGAGCACAACCTGCGCAAGCGCGATGGCCCGGAGCAGCTGCGGCTTGTTTCTCGCATCATCCCACATCCGGGCTACGAAGCTCGAAGCCACCGCCATGACATCATGCTGCTCCAGCTAGCTCGGCCTGCACGTCTTACCCGCCAGGTGCGACCCGTGCCTCTGCCCACACGTTGCCCGCACCCTGGTGAGCCCTGTGTGGTGTCCGGCTGGGGTCTGGTGTCCGACAACAAGCCAGAGACCACGGGAAGCTCCAAATCACAAGGTGCGTGGAGGGGTACGTACCAGGCCTTCAGGAACCCTGTCCCCCAGGCTCGCGGATGAAGGGCACAAGAGCCAAAGTGTATGAATGTGCTTCATGCCCACTGTCCCACCAGTGACCCTCCCAGATACCCTGCACTGTGCCAACATCAGCGTTATCTCCCAAGCATCTTGTAGCAAGGACTACCCGGGGCGCCTGATGGACACCATGGTGTGTGCCACCGTGGAGGGCGGAGGCACGGACTCCTGTGAGGTCAGAGCCAAGAGGGGCATCGGCCGGAAGAGAGGGGACAAGGATAGGTCTCAGAGTTGGGATGGGCTTGGTTTCCTTTGCCCTGAGCCAGAAAAGATGCTGGGGTTAGGTTGGGCAAGGGAATAGGTCAAGCACTTGGGGTGATGGTTGGAGGTAGGGGTTAGAGATGGGATAGTGTCGGGTTTGTTTGGGGTGGACAGTGTGGCAGTTAGCTAGAGGCCGCATAGGCTGGGTTGAGAATGGGAATGAGTTTGATTTTGATGGAAATGTGAAGTAGAACCAGTGGATCTTTGAGAGGATGCACAAGACGTGAAGATGGGGTTTGGGTAGCACTAGATGTGAGGACGGGCATGGGTCTGGTTTGATGCTGAATGGGGGGCTGGGCTGAGTTAGACGTAACTTGGTTAAATTGAGTTGGGATTGCGTGAGGGTAGGGCTGGACGTGGCTAGAGTGAGTCCCATCCAGTCGGGTTGGTTTGGGTTTTGATTGACATTACAAACGACGATCAGGGTGGGGAAGGGGACACTACTGAGTTCAGGAAGTTCCCACTCGACTTGAAATCCCCTCTTCTCCCCACAGGGTGACTCTGGAGGCCCCCTGGTCTGTGAAGGTGCCCTGCAGGGCATTGTGTCCTGGGGCGACGTCCCTTGTGATACCACCACCAAGGCTGGTGTCTACACCAAAGTGTGCCGCTACTTGCAGTGGATCAGGGAGACCATGAAGACCTAACACCTGTGTCCCTGGCCAGAAGCCCATCCCAACCTAGGATAGAATTAGGCCACTCCCCTAGCTCCCGTCTGTCTTTAGCCAAAGACTTGTGCCACCTGAAGCCAAAGTTGATGTTCAAGGTCACCTGTTCCACACCAAGATAACAGCACTGACCCAGGTTTTCTGTAGGAGCTTGTGCGGTTTTCTGTGAAGATGAAGGGAAATGGGTGCCGGGGCTGGGTGGGGACTGAAGGACGGGGTGGGGGCTGGTCCATGTCACCCACTGCCTTAACCCCTAGGGAAGGGAGACGGCTTCATTCAGCAGAGAAGGGCAGCTGTGTGATCTTGAACAGGGGCCAAGCACATCCTCGGTTTTCCAATCTGTAAAATCGGCTGATCTCTCTCTTGCCTCCTGTGGCTGATGTGAGGATTAAATGAACTAATCCACGTGGAATGATGGGAACAGTATCTGACCCTGGATAAACACTTTGTATCCCCACTCGGGGAGAGGACCCCCTGCACACCCCATTACCGGAGTGACTTCTCTGTCTTCAGGATTTAGTTCTAGGCTTCCTGATAGCCACAGCAGGAAGGTAAATACCCTCCTTTCCTCAGCCAGGCTGACACAGCACAAGCTGGGGCTCTGTGAGCTCCTTCAATTTTACCAGAGTCAAGATAATGTACTAGAAGCTGTGGGCTTGAGATTTCGGGAATCTGTTCCCGGTTCTCCTCAGAGACCTCAAAATGCAATTTTCAAGGTTGCTGAGTATTGAAGTGCATAAACCTGCACCAAAGTATAATTCTTTTCTTTTTTGGGAGGCGGGTACTGGGGATCGAACTCGGGACCTTGCGCTTGTGAGGCAGGTAGCAGCAGCACTGAGCTAAATCTCCAGCCCCTCAAAGTATAGTTCTTGAGGTCTAATTACTGTAGAGGCCTACTCAGGTGGTAATTAGGATTTGTGGTGAGAATCTCGATCTGAGATGACCTTGAGTGCCCATATCTGGAAACAAGGCGTGGGAGGGCCCTTGTGACCCCTCCCGTGTAGTGGGGGCATTGGATTCTGAAATGCTAGTGGACTTACTTTGGGAGACCTTGACATTTCATTTCCTGGATCAGACGGTGCCAGGACTGTGGTGATATATTCCCCAAATACACATTGTCAGTGGAACAGGAAATGTGGCCATTGGGTACTGGATCTGGGGGTGCAAAAAGCAGGGCTTAAGATTTTGAAAACCAAGGCTTAGCTTTCAGGGAGAGCTGAAAGCTGAGAAGCTGCTCTCTTGGTCCTGAGTAGTGCACGGAATTGAGAGTCCTCATGGCTAGTATCTGAGGGCACACTGGGTCTTGAAGTACGGGGCCTTATAGGGAACAGGGAAAGGGGACCTTACTAGAACTCCTGCAGTGAGTCCTGGTCTCCTGTGAGCCACAACAGCACAAGGCGAATTAATGAATAAAGGCAGAAAATGAGACTTAGAGAAAAAGCTGAGCCTTGGGCCTGATCATTGCTACTCTGGGCAGAAAAGATGAAAGCCCCCTCCCAGCTTGCCACCCCTTTATTTGGTACATCTGGAGAAACAGATCACTCAGAGGGCTGCAGTGATCATCCTAGGACAAGGGGGAATTCGTGCACATGAAGATTTTGTTCCTCCCTAGGGTGTCTTCAACTGCTGTGATCCTGCCCTGGAGCATCACAGCATCACCCCACCATTAAGGTTTTAGCTGTGACTGGAAGATGGAGTTATGCCTCAGCCTGCCAGAGCCAGCCTGTAGGCAGGAAACTAGGCCTAATCATAATTTAACTGTGAAATGATTTTTCCCCCAAAATTACGTAGAATTGCTCCCAACGGCCTTACTTGAAGCTTAGGTCTAAGGGCTTTGTCGCAGGGATCAGTTAAGCCTCCCCCTGTACCTTGCCTCACTGGCTCTGTCCTCCACAGTGAGGGCCCCAGAGCTGAGGCCCTGCCCCACCTGGCCTCAGCCCTGGGAAGGCACCCAGCCTGCCCCAGAGCCAGAGGGAAACCAGGTGCAGGGCCTCCCTGCTTCTGCGGCTGTGGAGGCCCTGCCAGCAGGGGCAGGGCTTTGGCCAGCATCTCGCTGCCAGCAGGGCAGGGGCGGGGCTCTGGGGGATAGGGTTTTTAAAGGCTCCCCAAGGAGTTCCCCAGCAAGCAGCTCACCACCTGCCTGGCCCTGGACACCTCCGTCGCCATGTGGTTCCCACTTCTAGGCCTCGCCCTGCTCCTGGGGGGGACTGGTGAGAGTGTGGGGGGAGTGCGGGAGGGGGTGGAGACCGGCTCTCCTGCTGTCCTCACCCCACGAGACCTTCCCTTCTGCGTGACTCCAGTCTCCCCCTCCAGCCCACAGTCCAGGCCAGGGTGCTGGGCTCTCCCAGCGCATCCACATGGCCGAGCCCCTCTCGGTCCTCCTTCCTTTTCCCTAGCCAGTACCGAAGGGAACGATCCCAGGCCATCTGTGTCTCTCAGACCCCCGAACACAACTGGTTATCCCTCTAACTCCCTACTTTGCGAGCCCAGTGGCCTGTCTCCTGAGACCCCAAACCCCACCGTACCCAGTGGCTTTCTCTGTCCAGCTGTCAGCTCTCAGCTGTGTCCTCTAGATGCTGACATCCGGTCCCCATCTTCCCAAGTCCCCCAAATGCCACCAGACAACACTGCTTCCCAAAGTGGCTTGTGACCCCAGGTCGGTCCTCCATCTCCGCCCACGACGCCATGCAGTGAAGCCAGCCTTCCCCAGCCACAGGCTCCTTTCAGTATAGAATTCCAGCCCTCCCCAAGATCACTCCCTTCCCCACCAGAACCCCTCGGAACAGCCAGGCCATCCTGCCCTGTACTCCCCCAAGACCACAATATGTGGCCCTAATACCCCGCATCGGGTGAGTCTTCTGTGTCTCCGTGTGACCTGGCCTGCTTTAACCCTTTCGCCATGCCTGTCCTGGAACTGCCTCCAGGAGGACCTCACACCCCTCCAGCACCCTCAGATCATGAACCCCATCCCCAAGAGCAGCACAGCTGGTCCCTCTCCCTGACCAGTGACTATTACCGACCTCTCCCCTCAGAGGCCTGTCCCGTTCCGGGCCACAGCCCTGTTCTCAGGGTCTCCTCCCCGTCCCCTCACACCACCTCCCCACACACAACACAGAAAGGACCCGAAACCGCACAGAAGCCCACTCCTGGCTTTAACCCTGCTCCTTCCCTTCCCTTTTGACCTAGAACCCTGAATTCTCTCTCAGTACAGCTCACCCTTCTAGCCCAGTCCAGGGACCCCAAATTCCTCTGCCCTGATAAGCTCTCCTGAAACCCAAAAGCCCCATCCAGGCCCTATTTCCCTGGCCTAGGTGCCCCCAAACACTCCAAACTCCCTCTCAGCTTTGATCTTCTCGCACAGGGCCCTTACCCTGGCTTCTCAAACACCCTCTCTCCAAACACCCAACTTCTCACCCCTCAGCCCAAGACCCTCAAAGACCTGACCCTCAGCCTGTTACCTGCTTGCCGTCCTCTGCTTCTGCCCTGATTCCTGGGCTCTGCGCTGCTCCAAGAGCTTAGCCCTCCCCACCCAGGACCAGCTGCTAACACAATCTCAGGACAGCTTGCCCTGTCCCCAGACCCCCACCATGGCCCTTGGCCTCTGTGTCCCTTCAGACGCCACACAGCCCCTCTCCAAGCCCAGCCCTCAGCCCTCCTGCCAACCCCATCACTGCCGAACCTGCCCCCAGGTGCGGTGCCGCCCATCCAGTCTCGAATCATAGGAGGCGAGGACTGTTTGAAGAATTCCCAGCCCTGGCAGGTGGCTTTGTACCACTTCAGCCACCTCCAGTGCGGGGGCGTCCTGGTGCACCCCCAGTGGGTGCTCACGGCCGCCCACTGCGTCAACGAGTGAGTGGGGCAGGGCTGGGGAGGAGAACACGGGCGCCCAAGGACCGGGCAGCCAGCACCCGTGTGAGGTGACCTCGGGCACACCTGGGCACTGAGGGGGAGATGGGAGCAGCTGGCCCAGGGGTGCAAGGACAGTGGCAGAGCTGGGGCCAGGCCTCCCTCCCTGCGTCTCCGTCTCCGTCTCCCTCTCTCCGGGTCTCTGCATCTCCCCATCTCCGTCCACGTCCGGGTGTCTCCGCAGCCCTCTCTGTCGCTGTGTCCCCACCCAAGTCTCTGTGTCTCTCTGGCCTGCACCTCAGCCCCTCCCCGTCGCTGCTGCCCACGCTCCCAGGATGGCCCCGGGGGACCCCGCAGGGAGGAGTGGATGCACCCCAACCTGTGAGGTGCCTCTCACCGGCTGTCCACGCGGGAGACTCGGGAGAGGGCCGGGAGCCGGGCGGAGGGGAGGAGGCGGCAGGGA